TCGCCGTCGGGACCCCCCCAGTCTCTCCCACTGGGGGCCGTGGCAGCCCCCGGCCCCCCTCCACCCCCCCGGCATTACCGGCTCGTTGCGTGGATCATAAAGGCTAAACGGGGCTGCAAGAGAAGTGGATTTGTGGGTTTTAGTGGGTTTATCCTCTTTATAATTTTAATGCGACTTTACTTAAGCCAGGCGGTTTAATTTAATTTTTATCCCAAAAGCTCTTTTCCTGCCTTTCACTTAAAAAAAAAAAAATGTTTGTCTTCTCCTTGGCAGAGGAACAAAAGCTGCCCTTCCTTCCAGCGGGCAGCCCGCGCTGCGGGGCCCGGGGCGCTGCGGGACCGGCCCCGAGCCCGGTTGGCGAGCGCCGCCCCGAGGCCACCGGCCCCGCCGCCACCGGGAGCGGGAACGGGCGGACACACCGGGGCCAGCGGGGACGGGTGTTAAATACACTCCCGGCCAGCCGAGGGGCAGCATTTATTATTTATCCCTCTTTTTATTAGTGTTATTATTACGGCCAGAGCTGTCATGATTTAAGCATTCACCTAAAAAAGGATTTTTATGTGTACGTAATTATTTTTTTCTTGCAATGGGTGGTTAAGAAATATCACGGCGCGGTTTTGTGTGTCCTTTGGCTTGATGGAGAGCGGGAAGGAGGAGAGAAAGAGCCCACGCCGAGCCCTTTCCCCCTCACATCCATGTGGAGGGGGAGGGAAGGAGGAGGGTTTAAGGGCAACTTTTTAATCTTTTTTTTTCCTAATAATTGCGACAAGCACCTCCCGTTAGTAACATATTCTGCCCGGGAATATCCGCATGACTCCTAGGGAGCGGACACCAAATACTCCCAAAGGCTAACGCTGATGAATGGGAACTGTGAAAACCAGCTGCTATAACCATATTTTAATAAAAATGCCGCTTTGTGAAGATCTAAGTAAGTCACAAAGAAACCCATAATGAGATCTTGAGATTCAGTGCCATTTCCCTTGGATGATCTGTAATAGATTCTTCTATTATGGAAGTGTGTGTGTGTAATGGATATGTACACATATATACATTTACTGATATATGCCCACGCAAACACTTGAAATCCCTCCCGTCCCCGCCTATTAATTATTTTAGCACTTATTCCCCTGACAAGCAGAAGTTATCTTACAGCTAAGACATCCATTTACTGTCTAAGAGCTCTAACTTGTCTTTGACGTCTGAATTTAAAATGTCTTTAGAAACTTTAGCAACAGCCAGAAAGGGGGAAAAAAAAATCCCATTACCTTAAAATGTTATTCCAGCCCAAGAATTAAACCCAATACATCACCTACTTAGGTCTGGGGTTCTTTTTCTCCCCCCTCTCCCCCTTTTTCTATTATTTATTTTAAACCTAATCGCGAAATTAAATGGCACATGCAGTTTTCACGCTTATCTTGAGTGCTTTTCTCTATTTATGTTTTCAATCTGCAATTTAGGGGCGGGGGGCAGGGGGGGATGCTTCATTTCCAAGTTGCAGCAGTGAAAGCTCTGTTAAAATATATTCCTCCTGCCTGTTTTGGCTGAAAGAAAGAGCTTTTAGTAAGACGAGTTCAAGTGTGACCACGACTTTTGTCTTACAAATTGCATTGGCATAAAAAGTAAGGCAGTGGGTTTGCAGGTTTTTTTAATCCTCTTTGTAAGAAATAGAAAATATTCGACAAATTTTTAAATTGCTATAGGTGTTTTACGTGTAAGTACAGCAGATTGTACGTATGTGTGTCTGCAAGCACATATGGCACATATGTGCTAGAGGTATGTAATGCTATGGGTCCTTCATGTGTAAACCTAATTGGAGTTTTATAGTAAACTTTAAGTTCTTTCCCTCCACAGGTTTGATTTAAACTTGAACCTGCCTATATTTGTGTACCAAAAAGGAGAGAAAATTTTGACATTACAGGAAAGAAAAAAAAACTATATTAATTTGACATTATAGCTTGTACCAAAGATGCTGAATCAGACGATGTTTTCCTCCCTCCGTGCATTTAGTGAGCTCTAATCTTGCCCAAAATAAAAACAACAACAACCCCCCAAGGCTGTCAATACCCCCCCTCTCCCCCAGGAAGACTCTCCCCCCTTTTCTATTCTCTTTCAAATTGGTGTTTGGGGTTTTTTTTCGGGGGGTGGCTGCTCTTTGTGGGTTTGTTTGTTTGTTTTTTTCGGATTCCGCCCCGTCTCCCCGCCCGACCTGGTGTAAACTGTTTGAAGTTCAACAACATGGCTAAGTTTTATTGTATTTCCGGTACAATAGATTTATATACCGTCCCATCCAGGCTTTTCCAGGCTTTTCAAATGAAATGAAGCTAAGTTATAGGCCAGGTTCTGGCTCCTCCGCACATCTCCTGAACTCGGAGGATTTGTTTCTTCAATGAACTTTTAAACTCCCCTAAACTTGCCCTTTCGGGACGGGGCTATCTCTGCCTATTGTCTTTCTTTCCAGCCTTTATTATTTCTTTTGCTCACCCCTTTGAGTTGTTTAATCCACTTGAGGATAAACGCCCAGCTTACAAGGTAAGAGATTGACTTTACATAATATATATGTAAATATATACATATAGAGGTGTTTTGTGCCTTCACCCGGTGGGCTGGGGATGTATGATTCTTTCTTCCTTTCTTATTTATTTTTATTTTATTTATTTATTTTTTTTACTACATTGGAATTTAGGTGAGGTTTGGGGTAGGCGGGTTTTTTTGGCAAACTTCCCCCGCGGAAGTTGCTCGGAGCTCAGCAAAGCCTCCGGGGCCTGGCCGCCTCCCGGCCCCGCACCCCGGCTTTAATTTTCCCTTTTATCACCACCCAGTCATTATTTTATAACACGCTTTTCCAACGCGGGGTGAGCGTTGGAAGGAGGAAAGGACACGATAAGTTTCTCTGTGTTGCTATTTACACCTATAAAATAGTCACAATGACGCTTTTTTCTCTTGCTTTAATTGATTTATATGTTCTTGGCTTTTTTTTTTTTCTTTCTTTCTTGCTTTCTTGCTTTCTTTCCTGCTTTTTCCCCCCCTTTTTCTTTAAATGAATCACGTTAAACTTGCTTTCAGGGGAGGAGAATATGAATTAATTGTTTTCCCCGGAACTCACTGATCTGACTTTATTCTCTGCGGAAAGTTATCCAAACCCCGGCAGACTTAGATACTCCCCCAAAAAATCTGGTAATAGTGTTTTAATACAGAGTCTTGATAAATCAGCTTCATATCGGAAACGATCCTTTAAATTAGCTTTCCAGAGGAGGTGGGGGAAGAACTTTAGGAATTTTTGCTCTTTTTTATAGCTGCGATAATCGCTTGTTTCTCAAAGTCAATAGCATTTTACTGTTTCCTCTGGTCTATTTGTAAACTATTTGTAAAGTCCTGCAGGAGGGATCCGCTCCAGACACTGTACATAGGAAATCATTTGAATAGTTATTTCGTGCAATCCGAGGGGTTTTATTTCGTCTCTGAAAAGATCCTTTTGTTGCTTTTGTTTCCTAGCAACTGTTTTCTATTATAAAAGTTCAGATTGCAGATGATGTCAAACAAAATGGCCGCCCAGGCGCCTTTCTTGGGAATTTTAGCCTTTGACCCAAGGCTGAACTAGAACTGCTCTGTGAATTAGGTAGTTTCATGTTGTTGGGCTTTTAATTTTAAACACAAGAACATCAAACTACCTGATTTACTCCAGTTACCCTCCTCGCTCTGGTTTGGGGTGACATCCCTGTACCCCCCCCCGCCTGGGCACACACATCCCCTGCATCCCCCTCTCCATCCATCCATCCATCCATCCATCCATCCATCCCCTGGACCGCAGCGGGTCCCTGTCCCCCCCCCGCTCCGCCGGGGGTGATGGTTTCTTTGTTTAAATCCCCCGTTTCAGTGACCTTTTCCGAGACGACGCAGTCACGCCCCGAATCATCAAGAGCTTATTAAAGGTCTAATTAGGCTGAGGCGCCTCTCGGAGGCTAAAACGCCCCCCCCTCCCCCGCGACTCAAACCCCTCCGCCTGCCCAATAAAGTTTGTGTCTCGCATAAAAATATATGCCTTTAAATCCACCCACGGCCATAAAGAAATAGAAATGCTCCTTATTTTAGTAGCTGGGTTCCACAGCCCGGTGTAAATAGGTAAAATGTGGGTTTAGTCCAACTCATGAGTTTAATTGCCCCCGTTGATTAAAAAAAAAAAAAAAAGTTTAATAAAGGCCCTGTCGCGCATCTCGGCGGCGCTTCACGTTTGTCCTTTGGCCGGCAATTTTTATAGGGCCCGGGGTGGCGAGAGGGGCTCTGAGGCTTCCCCTACAGGGGGAAAGATGCCGGACTCAGCCAGAAGTGCTGGATATTTAATTCAGGGTATTTAGTCACCGAGGAGCTCCCGCATCTCGTAAGAAACCTGCCCACGTCTTTAGAGGCTGAGAAATGCCAAGCCGCGGTCTCTACGCATGTAACCGCGCGTAGATGCGCGGCTTGGTGCTCATTGCTCGGGCATTGATCTCTGAGATCATCAAATATAACATCTTCAGCCAAACCGGGGCGAGGACCACGGCTGCGAAGTTCATGAAACAAAAGGGGTTTTTAGGTGGTGTCAGAAATGCCCACAATGTTTCACCACATCCTTCCTCCCGTCTCAGTGTTGCACGTGGGAAGACTCCGATTTAATATATATATATATATATGTACACTAAAACCTCTAAAAATCCCCGTGAGAAAGGGGAGTCGCAGAGCTCTGCCTGTCAGAGAGTGTGTTTGGATGAAGTCCACCCAGACCCGCGGAGTCGTGCGTGTTTGTGAGCCATCAGCTCCTGGAAGCGATTTTCCCTGCACTGCTGTTTCAAATACGCATAAAAACCGAGTTTCACATGGTCCTGGCCGCGGCTAAAGAAGCCTGGGACTGGATCTCCCTTCGAGGTTTGAAGAATTAAACTTTGATACCGTATCCAGGGTCTAAACCACCATCTGCTCCTACTTTTTGTGGCGAGGGGATTACTTGGATTTCTTTTCTTTTTTTTTTTTTTTTTTTTTTCTCCTCTCCACTCGGAGTGGGAAAAGAAAACGAAAACAAACAAACAAAAAACTTGTCTGGGTTTTAAACTGGTGCGTGCTTTATTCCCGAAACTGGTGATTCTTGTAGGCGTAGTGCCTATCTCGCCTATAAAACAAACAGCCGCTCAAGGGGAGGAGAGGGAAAGTCAAACAGCGTAAAATAACTCAAAAGAGTTTTCTCCCCGTCTCACAAGCCCTGTGACTCCTTCCTTAGAAACAACGTGCTACTTGTGCCCTGACTCAAAGCCCTTAAACGGAAAAGGACAATCTGGGAAAGTTAATCATAAACTATTCGGTAATAATGTCCCCACAGGCAACCACTAACCTGCCTTGTAAATGTCTGGGCTTCTGATTTTGATCTCCCTCCTACCCACGTAAATACAGGAAACAAGGGCCAGGGAGGAGAATGAGGGACACAGAGCTGGGAAAGATCAGAATCAGGCCCCCGAGGAGGGGGGGGGGTCCTGTATTGCTGCCTGAAAACGGGAATTGGGACTCTTTTCCCAAGGGTTTTGGGAGGGCAGGAGCGGAGGGTGCGGTGGGCAGGGGGTCCCGCGGGCGCGGCCGCCCCTTATTTCTCTTCTTTTCCAAATCAGAAAGATAAGAGCGACCTTACCTGGAGAAGGAGCCGTGTGGGGACGGCTAAAACGACAACAACCTCCCCCCCCCCCCCAAAAAAAAAATACCCTCCTGGTAGGAATCGCCTGGTTTGCGCCAGGCTGCCCATTTCTGCGCTTACAGGCAACCAGCACCGGCGGTAAATGCCACAAATGTCCCCCAAGTTGCCCCCCTGCCAGCGTCCAGCCTGGCTGATATTACCCCCACCCCGGGAGGAGTTTTAATTACGGGGAAAAGTGTGGTGAAAAGAGCTTGTCTCCCGGTTTTTGTTTATTTTTTTAATTCTTATTCTTATTTTTGTTTTTTACCGGGGGTCATGCTCCGGGTTTTATGGAAACGCTTCCCTCGCAAACTTAATTCTTGTACCTGCGCTTGTGTTTTCCCTCCTTCTTCCCCAAACTTGAGTGCGAGCGACAGATTTCTCACCATCACGGGCTGTTACTTCCCTTCCTCCCAGACTAATGCGAGTTGGACGACTCTTTTTTGGTTTTTTCTTTTTTTTTTTTTTTCTTTTGGAGGGGGGGCTCCAGTTCTGTCGTGGTGGTGACCCCAAAGCCGAGCCAGGGGGAACCCTCCGCGGTTGCACCAGCAGCTCCCGGGGCGTAGGATCCGCGGCAGCCGGCGGAAGGCAGGCGCCCAGCTATTTAATGGGAGCCGAATATTATTTCAAGGAGGGGGGCGAGGGGAGGTGGGGGGGGGGATTAGTCTAGTAGCCAGAATGCGGGTTCCTGAACAACAATCAAACTTTATTTTAACTTTCTCTCCTTCCAGCTCCGCTTTCCGAAGGCACATACGCTTCTACTTTACAGGGGATCGAAATGCTTTATTAACTGCTGAGATTACAAACCTCATTTGGAATCGGGTTTTTTTAGCCAGAGTATACTTTAGGTCCTTGGAAAATTGCCCACATGTGTAACTTGTTTTTGCTTCTCTTCAGACAAGGAATTCCCCCCCCCCCTCCTCCCTCTTTCCCTCCCTCCTCACCACTTACGGATTTTTAACAGACGGCAGCATTCAAACTGAGAGCTAGCACAGGAAATGGCAAAGGTAGATCCTTCGGCTTTTAGGCTACAGAAACTTATTTAACTTTTTTTTTTTTTTTAAGGTTTTACTCTTCAGGAGGGATTTTTTGTTGCGCTTTCGTGCGTTTGGAGGGGTCCGTGACTGAAGTTTCTTTCATAACCTGCCTCTCAGACCTGCCTAAATGTATCATTCATAAATTATGTTTGCTTTATGCTGAGTTTTTATTCCTGTTTCCTGTCTCTCTCTCAAAAAAAAAAAAAAAACAAGAGCAAGCCTGGTGGCTTTGAAATTGTTACTTCTCATTTCTCCTTTCAGATGTCAGGTGATAACAGAAATGTTTTGCAGCCAGATCATGCACTGGTGCAAGTGGAGCTAGGATAGTGGGTGTCAGCCGATCAGCTGGGGACATCTGATCTTGGATATGTCCACATGTGTCTACGCAGGTACATGTGCTGAACAACAACAAAAGTTATTCGCTTGTTGTTGTTGTGATTATCACTATTATTGCTGTTATTATTATAATTTCGGAATGTTTCGTATCGCCCTAAAATAAACTCCCAGCCCTTTGAAGGTTGGGTTATCTCAGAATCTGGTCTCCAGACTCGCCATAGCCATGAAGTTCACTCTCAGCTTTTATCCTCTCTTAGTTTATCCTTATCGGCTTCCAAACCCAAACTGAAGAAGCGAACCCACCCCAAGTGATGCACGTTCCCCCCCCCGACACCGCGTCGGCCTCCTGGGGTAAAGATCCTGGTGAACCCCCCCCCCAAATTCCAGCCCTGTCCCTGCATCGGGACGGGGACAGAGCCCCGCACCCCCAGGTCTCCCCCACCTTCCCCAAAGCCCTGACAAAGAGGCAAAATCATCTGGAAGAAGGTGCCAGTTCTAATAAATGGTAACAACCGTCTTTAAAAAGTGGTTAAATATGTTTCCGGTAAGAAATGGCTCCTCCGCTCCTTTTTCTTTCTTACGCCAAAACTTATAAATCAGTAAAAGGTGGCAATTGCACGGTCTTAAAAGCTACATATTTCGAAAATACTTTATATTTGGTTGTTCTCAGCTTAGAAATGCCAACCCAAAGAGTTGTTTTGTTAAGGATGGGGTTTGGCAGTTGCGTGTTTCAGAGCGCTATTTGGAAATGATTCCTCCTCTCCACAAACAATAAAGAGTATTTATAAACAGTATCTGAGTTCAGAAGCCTCTGGCTTTCCATTGCAAGCTGACAATACTCCGAATTTTTCCTCACAGCCAAAAACACTTGGCGCTGATTCTGAAAGCAGGAAAAAGTTTCCACTTCGGACTTTTTTTTTTTTTTTTAATAACTATTTCCAGTTCCACTTCCCTTTACCAACTCACAACAACAATCACATATCTAAAATTAATCTAGTTTGCGAACCGAGCAAAGCTCACACATCCTGCCTCCTCTCTCCCAAAGATTCCTCCTTCTAGACTTTTAGACTCTGCTCCGAGGTCACTTTCTCCTTGACGTTTGAGATATTTTTTTTCTGCAAACAGAAGAGCTTTTCATGTAATTTCTGCTGGGCTCTATTTGGGGCTCTAAAACATAACCCTCCGTGTGGTGTCCCCCGAAGCGGGCAGCCCCGCACGCCCCGCTCTCTCCAAGCGGGTGACCCGGGATGAAGCTGTACTTTGCCTTAAGCCCCTCTCAGAAAAGGCTACCGAGAGATGAGCTGTGGGGATATATATATAAAATAAACTACTGAACAAACGGAAACCTCCAGAGGAGCAAAAGCAAATGGATTTTGCAGATCTTCTTGTGAGGTTTCCATTCACTAGGGATCTGAAAACCCTTGGTTTCTGCCTCACAGCCACGCTCCTAAGAGTCTTCTTGGATTAAATTTATATACTACAGAAAATTATATACTCACATGCTGACATAGTTCATCATTATTTATAGGAGGCGCACCAGGATTTTTTTTTCCAAGAATATATTTATTACAGGTAAGACACGGCCAATCTATCTAGCAAACAGAGAACAGGTGTTTTGCTTCAATTAACGTTCAATAATTTCATCTATACTTATTCACCATCCTGCTACCAACACGGCTGTTTATCCATCAGTTGTATAAACACATTTCCATGCGCCAAGCGAGTTTAATCTCCACAACACACTTAAATCAGCCCTTTCCTTTCCCAAGCTCTCATAACATTTGCAGAGTCCCTCCGAATCTCTGGTGAAATAGTCTGATTTTTAAAAAATCATTTCTGAAAAGGCAATAAAGCCGAGAAATATGACAATGTGAGCAACCAGCTCGTATTTCACGTCTGATGACACGGGGTCTCTTGATTTCAAGGAAGTTAAAAGAAGGGGGGGGGAGAAGGGAGATAGAAATGTGAAAAGTTGGAAAAAGTAGGAATTCTGACACACACACACACCCCCCCTCGTTTCACACAACCCCCTGTTCGCGGGAGATGCGCTGGGGAGAGCGATCCTGCCCCACGGGCAGGGGGTTTCTCTGCCTTCACCGGTTTAAAGGGGTGAAGTGGAGTTAACTTTGGACTAAACCAAAGAGGAGAGTTTGCAGGTCGGAGGCGAGTACTCACCTGGTGCCAGTTGCCCACGGCTGCCTGGGCAAGGTCTGAGCCCAGAGGCTGGAGAGGGCTCCCCAAACTCCTCACACCTCACCTTGGCTGGAGCCCGCGGACTGACCCCGCTTCTCCAGCCCAGGGAGGATTTTGAGCCGGTTGGGGGGCTCCTGCTGCCCTGATGGATGGAAAAATGAAAAATAAATCTGACCTCCGGCATTAAGCTCCGGCTCTCCTTGCCCATCATCCCGACCCTCTCCATTTTTTTTTTTATTTTTTTTTTTTTAAATAAAGGGAGGGAGGAAAGAAAAATTGTGGTTTGTTTCAGCAGTTTATCCACTCATCTTTGGGATTTGGGAAAT